GTATTGTTTATATAACTCTTTAAAGTTATGCCTTCACAAGATACATTTGTACAGTGCCTGCAAAATAGGACAGAATGATTTGAATATAGTGAAAATATGCATCACCATCATTTGTACTGGTTATTTTCAGCCTGATACAGCAGATATTGTCTGTGTCTTCACAGGCCTTGAAACACTTGCGGAGCATCCAGGTGATAAACTTTGGAGACTGTTTGGTACGACCGGAAGGAGCCAAAGCGATTGCAGTGAGCGTGTCAGAGGGGCTGCCGATCCTCAAGGTAAGTGAGGGCAACCCTCTACTACCAGCTCTTTGTTGCAAGTTGTTGTTGGCAGCAGGCTTGGACAATATTTAATTTTTTTTCCCCTATCATCCTGACAACAGGGCACAGGGTTAATGATGGTATTAGAGTTGTAACAATCCATCGATTAACTTGATTATAAAAAAAAAAATCCTTAATGTAAAAGTTTGCTTCGACGCTTATCATTTAATTCACGCTCAGTTGTCACCATGAAAGCTTTTCTCTCACATTTGCAACAAAGAATAGACCTGCAGTAGAAACCTATCTAGGAGCTCGCGTGTGAAGGAAAACTTTACTTTACAGCTGCTCCTATCCATCGCCTTTTGTTTTACATAGTGGAAGTCTACAGTGACGTTACAGAAGTTAAAATAAAAGCATATGTATGTACGTGGGACACCTTTCTGAATAAATAGTTTTTATGTTCCACAGGAGCTCAATCTGTCGTACGGTGAGATTACTGAGGATGCTGCTCTGGTCGTGGCACAGGCAGTAAAAGACAAGGACCAACTGGAGAAACTGGACCTAAATGGTACAAAGAATGCAGTCGGTGTCAGTCATGATGCTTCTGTTGTTTGTTTGTATTTGAGACATTATGGAGGAATGTTGTTTTAGCTGCATTTGGCTTCACGGCTTGTGTAAAAGGATCTCTGGTTTTCAGGTAACTGCATCGGAGAGGATGGTTGCAGAGCCTTGAAAGTCGCCATGGAAGCCATGAACATGAGCGAGCTACTTGGATCACTCAGGTAAATCACAGCTTACTCTGACTCCTGTTTGCTTGAGCTGCATCCACAGTGGTTGTGGTTCTTGGCGGAAGTTGCCTTTCGGCCCTTTTTCCCCCCCACAACTCTCTTTTTGAGGTTCTTCATATGAACTTAGAGCAACTTAAAAAAGTATCTCAAAGACAAAATACTATAGATACATCTTTCATGCCTTGGATTTGTTAAAGTAGTCAAAGAGTTGCCAAATTACATGGAATAAGTCCCCCTTTTGAAGAGTCGGTGGCTTCGTTTGCTTCCAGTTCAACAGAATAAGTTTAACTGCGCAAATCCGATTAACACGTATTAATTATTTGACAATTCTAGGGTTGCTGCTTTCACCCAAAATAATGTCTGGTTTGGGCCCGAGCAATTTGCTTTAGCAAAACTTCTGACAAGGCCTGAAATGTCTTAGTGCAAAATCCTCCGATGTGTGGACAGGTTCAGGATTTTTGAGCTAGAGAAGCCGGTATTTGTTCGCTTCGATCGCAGGATGCAATAACAGAAGGAATCGTTTTTATGAAGGAAGCCAGTTTGTGTTTTGATAAATGTAGCCTGTGTAGAACCTTGAATTGTAATAGGCCTTTATCTGGCACATGCTGACGAGGTCCGTAGATGCTCTTGGGCCTTCTGACATCTGCTGTCTATAATCTTTATACTGAGATCCTCCTGCCAGGCTTCTCTTAAATACTCAAATACTAACCAGCATGAAGTGGACAGTACCCGAGATAAACTTTTCTCAAATCCCAGGTGAGTGATTGAAACGGCTGCCAACTCAGGATACCATTGAATGACCCGGTAGTAAATACATCACATGTCAGATGTCAAATATCAGTTTATCAAGTGATGTGAAACGTGCAAATCGCATCTACTGTGGAGGCAGCTTTAGGTCATGAAGTCTTTTTGCAAAGTTCTCACTACAGAGCTGTGCTTTAAAAAAAACAAACTTCTTCAGTGATGATGAGGGCGAGCCAGAAGATGATGATGATGACGAGGAAGACGACGACGACGATGAGGAAGAAGATGATGACGAGGACGATGTGGACGAGGAGGAAGTAGAGGAAGAAGAGGAAGAAGAGGAGGAAGAGGAAAGCACTGGCAATAAGGTAAGACATGTCTGTTCATTGAAATAGTTTTAACACAAGTTGGCTCAAGTTAAATGAGTAAAATGGCATCAAATGTGTCTGTAATTATAATTTTTTAAATTCTAACCATTGAATCTCTATAAGGAAAAAAATATACACTAGTTCTAAGTGGGATATATGTAAGATATGGGCCTCATTGAATCCAAATGATGACTAACATGTTAAAGTATTGAGGGATGTCACTATTATGTCTAACAGAAGCCTCATTCTGTACTGAATAGGTGACAGGAAGTCTAAAATCCACACTAGCTGTGATCATATGCACACATTTGTGGTTTGACTTTTTCCTCTTGCCTTGTTTTTACAGTTTTCCACCCCACAGTCAGCACCTCGACCCCCAGAAGTCTCCTCCTTCCTCAGCTTTCCCTCCCCTGACAAACTGCTTAAACTGGGCCCTACGAGAGCATTGCTTATTGAGCAGCAGGTACCAAAGAAATCTCCAGTGACATTAAAACACACTTGTAATCCTATGCAAAGATCCAGCAGTTCTTTAGTGTGTAAACATTTCTTCTTCTGGGCCCAGGTGGATGTTTCAGACGCTACAAAAACAGCTGAAGCCTTCCTCAAGATTGCATCTGTGTACAAGGAGGACAATACTGAAGTTAAGAATGCAGTGTTGGACAGTATTGGTAAGACACTTTGTGGAGTTGAATCATCTTGCAAATGCCAGACTTGTGTGACATTTGTGTATTTTGGTTATTTTGTGCTAAACTGTTTGATTCTTTCTTTTTTTTCACATATTACTTTGAGTATTAGTATAGTTTTCTCATTTTCAGCTATTGCTGAAGCTTAAAATGCTCTTAATTTATTTTTATTTAATTTTATTTAAATAATCCTACAATTTACCTCATCTAAGTCATTAGAAAGCTCAGTCTACTCTGAAAAAAGTGGTTTTGGCTCATCACAGTTAGAGCCAGCTTTCACATTTGGCTGCCACTTGCAAACAAAAGGTTTGTGCGGAAGGTGGGCGGGGCTTCTGTCCTCACCGGTCTTGTCGAGGTCATACAGAGTCAAAAATTTTAAGTGGAGTATTATAATAATAGATCCACTTAAATGTTTATTTATAATAAAAGCCACGTGTAAAACTGGCATTTGTTTCTATTGGTGTATAAAATATGTGCCAGAGTTTGGTTTTTTGATTTTTTTTGATTTTTTTTATGTATGTTATTTATTAATTTTCATTGTTTTTACACTAGCATGGTGTGTATGGATTTATGAAGCAGTATAAAATCATTAGCTTCAGATGCTGGTAGTTGTTTCCATCCAAGAGAGCCACGCTAACCTTAAGATATAACGATATATATATGTATACGTTCCCCACACGTTGCACTTTTTTTTTTTCATATTATTGTAATTTTCCCCATCAACAAACAAATTGGTGGATGGAAACTTGTGCTTTAAAAAAATAATAATAATGAAATCTTATTTTGCTTTGCATAAATGTGTGTTTTGTGGTGCTTGGAGTTGGAGAAAGTAAACTTGTTGTCAGTGGTGTGTTATTCCAGTGTTGAAAATTCTGTTTGTTAAGATGTTTTTCCTCTTGCAGATGGGCTCCTGAGGAAAGCTTTCACCTCGTCTTCCTTCCAAGGCTACAGCTTTGTATCATCTTTGTTAGTGCTGCTTGGACTTATTAAGGTATGAAACACTCTGCAAAATGTGTCTTTGGTTTGCTTTCTTTTTTTTCCCCTAATGTTTCTGGTCCTCTACCTTCAGAGCGAGGATAAGGTGAAACCTGTGATTGTGGTCCCCGGCCACCTCCAAGCTTTGGAGCATGTCGTTCGACAGGACTACTTCCCCAAAGAGAGCGTGGCTGTGCTGGAGGCCTTCATGTCCCGGTAAGGACGTGACAGAATGAGCCAATCAAAAGGCAGCTTCCAGGTACAAAACGCTATTATTTCCTATCCTTAGTAACGTAGCACATAAATGCTTCTGCACCAGGTGCGTAAACAGATGGTGATTAATTCGCCCTGGTTTTATCTCACTTTTGTGTTGGAGAGGGTTCATTACATTCTTGATTAAACTATTTATATAATGCAATATTTTGGTGCAATTTACTTATAAAAAAAAAATTAATAATTAAATAATTATTGTTGATTTTGGGGTCTTTCATGGGATCCTAGAAAATCTCCAGATCTTTTAATGAAAAAAATTGTAATAATGGATAAATAATTGTACAATCTGCATGTGTCATTCTTAGGAATAACAAGACCTTGGAGTCATGTGGAAATGCTAAAAACAATCTCCAATCAACACTGCAGAGAGTCCGGTCTCAGAGCTGAGGACTGTGGACACGTGCGCATAGACTGATCATTCATGGCCTTTGGAAACCAGCACACACAAA